GAGCTTAAGAGCCAGCGTTGGCTCGATCTAATCATTAAGCATATTCGCCCAGTACTGGCTACTACTGTCGTACCAATATCGAGCCTCGTTTGCCGATATTGACCCAATACTGGGCCGTTCGTCAATTCCTACAAGGGTACTTTAACAATTATCTCGCAATTTGTGTATGTTGTATAATTTGTACTTTACGTTTGAGATATATATCTATAAATTTTGTTCTCGAAATATATTGTCGCATATATAATTTGTGAATTGTCGATGTTTCGCGTTTTTTTTTGCAGATTCCGGATCCGAGAGCGGATCGCACAAGGCGGGCGTCGGTAGCGTTCGCGGTTCGGGCGGTCACAAAAGCGGCGGCGGTTCCGACGGCAAACCGACGAGAGTGCGCACGGTTCTAAACGAGAAGCAATTGCACACACTCAGAACCTGCTACGCCGCGAATCCGCGTCCGGACGCTCTCATGAAGGAGCAGCTCGTCGAAATGACCGGACTGAGCCCGCGTGTAATCAGGGTATGGTTTCAGAACAAGAGGTGCAAAGACAAGAAGAAAACGATCGCGCTGAAGCAACAAATGCAGGAGAAGGTAAGAGAAGTTACGATATTGGCTAACACGGGGGAAACAATTTAATGGAAAAATTTTACTTTGTAAATCTCACGCAAAAATTAATATCTACGCGCACTATCTCGCGATAACGAATCGAATGTCTTAACAAAAAATCTTTTAGAAATTAGCTTCTGTAATAAAAGAAAAGATTGATTAACACGTTTCTATTATATTTTTACTTCATATTAAATGTTTTTGATAATTAAAATTTTCGTACACGCGCGCGATCAAAACTACAATTGTTATTTTTTAGATGAAAAAGAGTAAATCAGTTCTTAAAATAAGCACAAATATATTTAACAAAGTATTCGAGGAATGATCTAATGGACCCAAGCGCTTTTTATTTCAGGACGGTCGTAAGTTGGGTTTCGGGGGCATGCATGGCATTCCCATGGTTGCCAGCAGCCCCGTGAGACACGAAAGTCCAATCGGCATGACACCTCTCGAAGTCCAGGCTTATCAGCCACCGTGGAAAGCGCTTTCCGACTTTGCGCTTCACACGGACTTGGACCGATTAGATCCCAATGCACCGTCTTTTCATCACTTGGTGTCTCAGGTAAATTGTAAATAAATATATATATATATATATATGTAGAGAAGAGAGAGAGAAGTTATAACTTATTAACTCTAATAATATGAATTTCTTAAATGACGCGAAGACAATTTTCAGATGCACGGCTACGACTTGCACGGAGGACCCCCGCCGCAATTGCCACCCCCCGGAATGCTCGGCGGGCCGATGAATGACGGCGGGGGCGGCCCGTTACCGCCCCCGGGGCCTCATCATCCGGGTAGCGGCGGGCCGGATATAGGTCAGCATCCCGATAGCACCGACAGCTACGTGACGTACGTCGAGAGTGACAGTGACTCGTTTCATCACGATACGGGAAGTCCATAGTGTCGTGCGCGCCATGAATACAAACCAACATCCCCGTCCTTCGCTTTCGTAGCGACTCTCGTCGTGATACTCGCCATGGCGGCGAGATGCTTGATTAAGCGGCGCGACGGATTCAGTAGCTCGGAACGTACCGACACGGATGATATTTTACATACCAAAGGACTCACATCGATTTCTCAACGATAATCAAACAGGCTCCGCACCGCCCACGATCAGACGGGACACATCGCAATATCGAAAGAAAAATGATTTGAAAAAAAAAAGAATAAAAAACAATAATGATGCATTAAAAAAAAAAAAAAGCGAAAGACGACATCTTCCCACAAAGTAATATTGTACGAATAAGTTTTCTTTAGTTCAAACAATTTCTTTTTCACGATGTAGCGAGAGAGAGACACTGTCACAAAAATAGTTGTCTTCTTAATTAGACGTTGTTTAAAGAAATAAAAGTGTTTGGACTTAAAAGAATTTCGCCATCTTACGTGCTCTCATTAATTACCGACAAAAAAATAATTGACGATTCTCTCGCGTCAGAACGTTATTCCGCTTTCTTATCATTCGACATTTTCAACAATGTTTTTCATCATTCGTATATTGCGTTGTAATAATACTGATTAAAAAAAAAAAAAAAAAAAAAATCACTGTTATTCCCGACAGTCTATCACCGAAAACTCGTAAGCGGTTTACAAACGCGCGTGTCGTTGTAACTGCCTGTATATATTTAAAAAAAAGAAAAAAAAACAAAACAAAACAAAAGAGAAGCGATTCAACAACATTCGGCGATGAAAACTATACTGTACATAGAGTTGCTAATTACTGTAAATCTGAGCGATGTTTAAATCACAATGTACTCAGGCGCAAGTTGTAGCGTAGAATATGAATAGTGGAATATACATATATATATATAATTATATATATATCTAGGCACATTATTAAATTTACATTTAATGATTGCATTATTCCAATTATGTTAAGTTTCACGAAATGGCAGAAATGTGCTTGCGAAAAAAAGAAGCAAAAAAAAAAATAGCAAACATGACATTTTAATTTCTTCGGCGAGAAAGTTGCCGTTTTTTTTATCGTCGTTGATATTCTGTGTTATCTTTCAAGTTTGTACGTACGTCTAAATCTAAATGTGAAAGGCGCGCGCGCGCGTTTCTGTATTTACATAACACAGATCGATCTTTGTTGGGAAAAAAAAAAAAAAAAAAAAAAAAAAACAGAAGCTCAGAAACTTGGTTAGCGAAGAAGCACAAGGGAGCGGTGCTTCTTCACGTTGGATGCAACACTGGCTGTATATTTTTTATGAACAACACCGTGTAAAAGGATCATCACTTGCAAAGAGCACATAAGCTGATAAAAGAAAATTACTTGTCGTTAATTACTTGCACAACGTGACTTTAGAAATTTCTAACTTTGCAACAAGAAAGTAGCTTCGCTGATTTTCGCGTTCATTGATTTTTGTTTGATTTTTGTCCGCACAAGCACAGATATGTAATTTCGAAAGTTCAATCAGAAATCATCAAGAGCTGGATTAATCGTGACGATTTTTTAAAATATCAATTTTTTAAATATGTTTTATAAAAATAAAAAAAAATGTTACGTGAAATGTTTAAATGTTGGTTTCCTAAACGGAAACTTACAGAAATTGTCTAATATATTATATATATAATATATATTACACGATTATTTTTCTGCAACACAGAATGTGTTTTTGAATTTAATTAATTAAAAAAAATAATTACCGTCTCTAATAGCGTTACAGAACAATGCCAGAAACGCGTGCAAATAATATATTAAAAGCTTTGTACCGCTACTTTTGACATGAAAACGTCGTGCAAAGCTTAACGAAAAGTGCTATCTAATTTGTGTACACACAAAGCGCTCTTCAGTTATAGATTATATTAATATAAAAAACTATCCTTTAATAGGGAAAACACCGACAGATCATGCTATCAGCACACATGGCTAGCCTTTTTTTTTTTTTTTTTTTGAACGTTTGTATAAAATCCGCTGTACACCGCTCTCTTGTACGTGCGCATGGGCTATCGTTGTAAAACTACTGTTTTGTAATTTGTTCAAGCATCTTCGAATTTGTATGATATTTCTATACTGGCACACAATGTATGTAATAAACTGTCGAACGAAAACAGCTTTGATTGCGTTTAATTTTACTTTGCAGACGAATTTGAGAGCGCAATAAGCGACAATTTTTTTTTAATGCGCTTTGTCGTCTTTCCTGAGATTTTTTAGACACAAGCGACTGTTTTTTTTTTTTTTTTTTAATAAGCTTTGAACAATGAACAAGACACTCTTTAGTTTGAAAAAAGCAATTCTAACCCACTTACTTTGTTCCGCGCATTTGAGATACTGCATGATCGTCAGAAGTGCCGATGCTGCTCTGCTTGCTGAAGTCTTGTTTTTTCACAATTAACAATATCGTCTAAAGTTGTTAATTATTCTTCGTACCTCGTCTCGTTTCTTTCAAATCGTCGTGTGATGTGGTTGCAGCAACGCGCGTGTGGGCAACATTTTGTTCTTCTCGCGAAAGCTCGATCGGCCGCGTTCAATTCTTTCCGCTTTCGCGTTCTTTCGCCACAATTAACGTTACTAATGAGTGTCCAAGACAATTATGCGTCCTCGCGAACAACCGGAACCTTATCACACACACGTACGACTTAATATTCACGCGAGAAATACGGAAGAAGTCGAACGCGAAGTTACCGCGGTTGTGATACAAGTCGCGCGTTAGTCGTGAACTGTGCGCGCCGTAGCGATTATCGAAATATCGAGATATCGAAATCGATGCGCGCGGAAGCAAGAAATATTCAAAACCTAATAAAAGAACACGAGCAAAAGTACATAGTTTACCTTATTTTTAAACTATTGTGTGTGATGTATAGCTTTTATATTGTGTTTTATATACTAGAGTATTCATTTAAAAAATTTCGCACCGTTTAAATAACAAAATTAAATTATAACAAAATAATTAACAGAAATAATCAATCGCATGTAAAAACATAGTATTTTTATTCACAGGGGTACGTTCCAAAATCCTACCTTACTAAAATGCTATATTTTGCGTTACGTGTACTATAGTTTTCGGTTACCAAGGTAAGATTTCGGAACTCTGTATCCCAGAAGGTTCATCTGGTAATGCTACGCTCTGGGCGCGTTAAAGAACAACTGGCGCCATCCAGAGAAGCTGGGTATCTGCAGAAATAAAACTGAGAACAACCAGGTCTATAAAAGAATGTGTAGTTGCTTTTCCGCCCTGTAAGCCAGCGCAATGACCATGAGTAGTGCACATTGGCATCTACGTAGCCGTGTTCATGAACGATACTTGTCGATACGTACGCTATATGTCCAAATGTGAACATGGTTCTATTCTGCGCTATGTCCACAGTGCAGTTTTATTCTCTCCACATCCTGACAGATTGAACTCACATTCTGACTAGTTAGATTTACATCTCGATTGATTAGGTTCACATAGCGATTGGCCAAGTTCATATTTCGACCACGGACGTAAGAATATATGGACGTAACATTAACTGCGCATATAGACAAGGGAGGGTGTGATAATCGACGTAAGAGGGGTGAAGTCCGTTTGACCACGTACGATTGGACGCGGTACGATTGACCACCGTACGATTTAATCCGTGTTGGTTTAATTTGGTTTGGTTTGGTTTTTGGTTTAGGTTTAGGTTTGGTTTGGTTTAGTTTAGATTTGAATTGGTTTGATTTGATTTGGACCGAGATATGAATCGAACCAATCAGAATGTCAACCTAACCGTTCAGAAATGCGAATTTAACCGGCCAGGATGTGAACCTAGTCGACCGAGATACGAACCTACCCGGTCAAAGTACGAACTTAACCGACCGAGATATGAAACTAACCGAACAGAATGTAAACGGAAGAGAATCGTACGTCGGAATATATGTATAGCGCGAAACAGAACCATGTCCACGTTTGGACATAGCGCACGCATCAACAAGTCGCTCGTGGTCATGTGGCTGTGCTAAATACACAATCTAACAAAACTAAATACACACAATCACGTTATTAGGTATAATAATGACAGTTACTACGGTGAATCTGGAATCAATTTTAAATCGCACCCCTCTCGTAATTTATTGATTTGTATTGACAATATCGTCAATTTTTAGTATACTGCGCACAGTTTCAGAAGCTAGAGTTATCGAACTAGTAGAAACCAGCAACGGTTGAATCACATTCTCCTCCAGTATGTTGGTAATTGCGCCTTTCCTTACGTTAATTCCTGCCGTTATCTCGCCCTTTGCATGCCGATTGCGAAGTTCGGTTACTGTAGTTATCGGATTCAAGCCTGCGTTTTCAGCTAACGTCGACGGAATTACCTAATCAAGTTCGTAAGTCATATTATTGTGCGTAACTTAACTTCTTTTCTTTATAAATAACAATTTGCGCGTATATTTAAAATAAAATTTTGTTGTAAAAAACAAAATTATATTTAACACTGACCTCAAGCGCATTTGCGAAAGCTTGAACACAGTAAGCGTCAATTCCACCCAAAGTCAATCCATACTCTCCTAACTTGATCGCTAATTCAATCTCGGGTGCACCACCGCCAGCAATCAACGCTCTTTTCTTTACCAAGCATCGAATTACGCACAAAGCATCGTGCAACGATCTTTCAGCTTCTTCTAAAACTAATTTGTTACTTCCGCGTACAAGAACTGTAACAGTTTTCCCGCGATTTTGAATTCCTGTTATCTGTAAANANNATNNNNGAGNNNTNT